TTAATTATTGATTCTCTGAGGTAGTTCATCCCTTCCCATGGCTACAATTATCTATATTCTGTTGACTTACACATCTATAGCTTTAACCCAGATCTAATTTCTGAGCTCCAAACCTATATAATGAAATGTCCATCAAATATTATTCATTGGTTATCTCTCAGTCACTCCACACAAAACATATCTAACACAGAAATAATGTCCACCTTATCCCACCCCTCTAACCTGCTCTTCCTTCTGAGTACTTTAACTCAAAGGACAAAACTTCCAACTGTTCAGTAGCCCAAACCAGCAACCTAACTGTTCTTAACTCATTCATCTCTCCCATCTCTCAGCATCAAGACTGATGGTATTACCTTCTAATCTCTCCCAAATCTATGTCCCTGCAATTCTATAGACTGAGCAATCATCATCTTGTACCTGAATTACCATCATCATCTTCCAACTGGCCTCTCCCTCTCGTCATTCCTCCAGTCTGATCCACACAATCTTTGTAAAGCAAATATGACCATTAGTCTCTCCTTATAACCCTTCAAAGAATTTCCATTGCCCTCAGGATGACTAATTCCTTCACATGGCTTACAAGGTCCTGCATTGATCTTCCCCTAGTCTACCTTTACAACATTATTCTTTGTTCAAATTCAAACAGCCACACTGACCTTTCTTTCACCTCCACAAACACACAATATTTCTTTGAGCCCCTGGCCTGGACATATTCTTGTCCCTCTAACTCTTTATACATCGCTTGGTCACATCCTTCAGGACACAGACATCACCTTCTCTGGGAATCTTCCAAGAATGCCCCTGCTCTGTTTCCACAGCATTCTGTATTTCTCTAGAGTGCTTATCACACTTGATTGAAATTGCTTGTTTAATTATTTAATTTTCCAACCAAATTATTAGCTTTATTATGATCTCAGAGAGAAATGGAAGTAGTGTGTCTTATGCCTGCTCTATCACCAAAGCCTAGCAAAGTGGCTGAAACACATTAGATCTTCCTACGTAGTTAGTGAATAAATGAGCCTCAAAAATAACAAATTCTACAGCAGCCACAGCTAAAGGGCACATTTCACAAACATGCATTAACACAAGACATGGAGCAGGTCAAAGAGTGGCATTTTAATAGGATGCACCTACACTAGCCTGAATGAAGAATTATTTCCCACAAACAAACAAAAAACCACAGAAGTTCCCCTTCTTTCTGTGTGGTAAGTTGGAATGACTCATTATTTTTTACACTTTCATGAAGGTGACACACAACAGACTCAACATGTGAGAGAGCACACATCTTTGGCCAAAAGTGTTAGAATAAGCGTGAATATTTACACTCTTTAGGCACATCTAGAACATTCTCCCTGTATATGATATGGACACACATACGTTCACAATGTCCCAGAAAATAAAGAGCATAATTTAAAAAAGTAAAAATAGAAAATGAACTCTTGAAGGGTATATCAAACTTAGCATGGTGTCTGACCCACAGGAGAGGCAACATAAAATGTGAGAGGGGACACCTGAGTGCAGCCCCAGCCAACTACAAACACCAGGGTTGATGTCCGAGGAAGGAGGAAATCTAGGAAGGAGATGAACATTGCTACTACTTATTACATACCATCCAAGTTACCTCATCTTTATGGTCCCATTGTACACATAAGAAAATGGCATTTGAAGGACTAAAGAAGCAACCAATAATAAATACCAAAGTGTTGTTCTTCCCAATCCTTAGTGCTGTATCCCAAACCAGGCAGGAGCTGGTCATTTCTTTAGACTAAACTCAAAATTTTCCTTTCAATATCTTATAGCGGAGGTTACAATAAGGCTTATTCAAAATATAGAGGGAAAACAGGTGGTCATGTCTTCAGGGGAAAACATTTATACTGCTTTTTTTTTTTAATTAGTCCTGATAAATGGGGGAAGGAGGGAAGACTGGCCCTTTTCCGGAGATGCTCTGAGAGTATCACTTTAAAGGATAGGGGCTTCTTTTCCCCACTGTCCTCTCTAGATCACTCCAGTTCCCGTCCGGGCTCAATTTTATGATTTTTAAAGTGATATGAAGGGGGCAGTCTTATGTATAATGACCTATGAGATGTTTTATTCTAAAAGCAGAACTCAAGTACATTGTTTGGAAAGAGGGATTCTGAAGCTCACCTATCGTTGTGCCTTTCCCAATCAGAGAGTCTGAGGATGCCAAGCCCACTTGGAGAGGGGAAACAGATGAAACTATGCTCAATGGTAAGAATTTTAATCCCCTGATGCTATTAGACTCCCTGAATTTAAGACTGGACATTACCAGTCTTACTGATAATGTCCAGTCTTAAATTCCCCAGGCAAGAGACTGGAGAATGTACTCACTGTTAAAGCTAAACAAATATGAATACACACACGTGTGGGTGCGTGCACACACACACACACACACACACAGTCTATAGCGACTGACGTGTGGGCATCACCCCATCATAAAGTTGGTTTCCACCTGAATACCAAACATTGAAGCTCGTATAGGGCTTCTCATTTGCAATTTGTGCTTAATCTTCAGAATAAATGGATGCCAAGGACAAATGAATATTCAAGGAAAGTCCCTAACAGGAAAAACAGAGACCAAAACAAATAGAAGAAATAAAGGAATGTGTGGGGTGTGGGTGGGGGGACAGTGCAGAGAAAATTCCCAAAATACTTATAATAATAATTAATATTCTAAGATAAATGAGAAGATATTATAACTATAAAATACAAATAGGATACAAATTTTTAAATAAAATAAAAAACATCTAATTTTAAATAATATCTAATTTAAAATATCTCATTTTTAAAAATATCTAATTTTAAAAACTGAATTAAAATCAAGTAAATCTCCCAAATGACAGAATTTAAAAAACAAGATGAAATACAGAAAAGAAAATTTAAGAATATTGCTCAGTCCAGGAGGTCTAATATCTGTTTAATAGTTGTATCAGAAAAACAGAACAAAAATAATAAATGAAGGATTTTTAAAAATACAAGAAAATATCCAGACTGAGTTTCTACATCAGAAGACCTTCAAGATGACAGCTCAACAACAAAAATCTACTCATTTGCCCAGCCAGTGCGGCTCAGTGGTTGAGCATTGACCCATGCACCAAGAGGTCGCCAGTTTGATTCCCGGTCAGGGCACATGCCCAGGTTGTGGGCCAAATCCCCAGTGGGGGACCATGCAGGAGGAGGCGGCCAATCAGTGTTCTCTCTCACTGATGTTTCTATCTCTCTCTCCTTTTCCCCTCCTCTCTCTCTAAAAATCAATAAAGAAAAAAAATGTTTTAATCTACTCATTTTCAAAGTTTCAAATTTTAGATTATCAGAGATAAAAAAAATCTTAAAAGTTTCCAGAAGCAAACAAAAATAGTTCTGTATAAGAAAGCAGAAATTAGAGTGTAAGTCCATTTCAAAACAAATACCAAAAGCTAAAAGATAATGAAGCAATGACTTCAAAATTCTGAAAAAGTTATTTCCAACCTAGACTTCTAAACACAGCCAACTACCAAGTAACTGTGAAGATAAACGTTATATATTTGCATATTTACATGTTTCCAAAATGTCATTTTCCACACACCCATTCTCAGGAAATCTATTGAAAAAAGTGTTTCACCAAAAGAGAGAAACCTGGGTCTAATGAAACAGGGTTCCATGTTTAATGCAAGAGAAAGATGAAGGAAATAGCCTAAAATACCTAGACAATAGGTGAAGGTAATTCCTATATTGATAATAAAAGGAAATTTCAGGACAACAGTTAAATAGAAGGTCCGGAGAATAACCAAGCAAGATCAGGGAAATGAGAAAATGGCTCTGGGAAAGTTTGAAGAAATAACAAAAATTTAAAAAATAATAACAGTAATAATAAACAATGGATATATTAACTGATGACTATGGCTATATTTCAAGTACATCAGAGTATTTGTATATGATTTAGAGGAAACTAAAAAGAAAGCAAAGAAATATGAAGCATCATTAATTCTAAGGAAAACAGAAAGCTGCACGAGAAAGGAAATACAATGTTAGTACACCATGAGGTTCAGCTTTGAATAGTATTTTCATAGTATAACAAAAATACACTGGGAGGGCAGAGGAGGCAAATGTGTATGTTGGGGGCCAAGCAGGGGTCATCAGAGAGTCGTGTAAGAGAGCTATATCCTCCTCCTTCAGGTTAGAAGTCAACAGACAATATACAAAGCTGAAAAATTAGAAAACACCAGTAGAAGCATGTTATTTGGGGAAATGAAGATAAACAGCAAGAGAACTAAGTAAAAGTTAAAAAGTATTGATTCTGAGGAGCAGGAAATAGGAATAGGAAGGGCTGGGCAAGGGATTCTATTTTTCATCTAAATCTTCTGGTATATATGAGCTTTAAAATTATAAATATATATTACTTTAATATAAAGTAGAATTTTATAACACAGTAGAAAAATATTTTTAAGTAAAATAATGCTAGAACTTTCGAGGTGATCACTTTATAAGTTATATAAATGTCTATTCACTATGTTGTATACCTGAAACTAATGTAATATTGTATGTCACCTGTAACTGAAAAAACGTTTTGATTATTTTAAAGAATTATGTAAATTTATAATTAAATAAATTATATTTAAAAACAAAAAATAATAATTAAGTCCAAACCACTTAAATATATATAGCTAGTCTTTGAATAACATCATTTTGTTCAATGTTGTTTCATGATAACAGTTGATGAGATGTCACAGGAACTTAATTCTTGTTTTAATCAATTAACCTATGGTAAAACTGGATTCATTATACAGTCACATAACCTATAGACAATGTGAATGAGGAACTTACACACACACACACACACACACACACAAGCTTTTGAATGCCTATACCTATTACTAGTAATGATCTCTGAGTGGTGGGGTTACAGAAATTTTATCGGCTTCTTCTTTTCCTAGAAAGATCTGTATTGTTATTTTAACAAGAATTAAACTTCTTTCACAAAATATTTTAAGGTATTTGCTTACCTTAGCTGATTTTTTAATTTCTAAGTCTTTATTCAGTTTAAAAAGAACTGTCATGTTGTACCCAGTCTGGTTTCCATGTCCATGAGGCCACCAAGTTTCTATAGTAACAGTCTTTTAAGAAATAATAAAAGTCATTCTAAGTAATCTGTGCCATATTCTGAGCAAAATAATATACTGATTCAGAGCATTATGTCGACTTCTCAAAGAAATTCTAGGTTCTAAAACAATATAAATCTCCCTCCCCATAGTATGCCAAATTATACCAATCCATAGATCATATTTAAAACTCAACATGCTAGGAGTTTAGCATGGATTAATATACCAAAAGAGAAGGGAAAAAAAACAGAATAACATGGATGTTCAGAAAAACAACTCTTCCCATTTCATATTGTTCAAGTTTACATTTATTCTATATTCTTAACATTTAGAATTGGACTTTGAGGTTGACTCTTGTGTTAAGCCCAGAACTAGAAATTGTTTTGATTCTTTATCGGAACAGTACTCTTGATTTGCATCATCCTCTTCCATTTACAGTGATCAATTAGAGGAATTTTAAAAAGAAAAAAGAAAAGGTAAAAATTTAGCCTACTTCTATCCATGGAAGATCTTGGAATTAGAATTCGGCATGTAGAATAAGCACCAATACTCAAAATAATTTACGAGTAACAAAAATAACCACTGTATTTAAATACAATGCTTAGAACATATTTTGGATTTAGAACACTGCAGAAAAATCAAAATATAACACACCTGGCTTCTTGAGAAAAAGAGATGCCAAACTTAGTACATATTTTCCATTTTCTAAATCTTAAAATCTAGGAAAATCATTCCATAGCATGCACACAAACAAAATATAGGAGAGGTTAAAAGTGAAGGAGAAAATGGAAAAGGTACACTTTTCTTTCAGACTCTGGCCTTTCTTCCTAACAGTATGTCTTTTGAACAGTATTGCTCCTCGTCTCGTGCTTCTCAGGCAGTACCATCATTCACCTTGTTCATTTTCACAAAGAGCTTAACAATCCTTTCCCCAGGCTGAAGTTCAACGCTGTATGACTGCTGTGTTTGCAATTTAGGGATTTCTACGATCACTTGACCAGAGACTGGCTTTGAGCTGACAACATCAAAAGAAGACTCTATTTCAAGATTCCAATCCTGGGTAGAGTTGTCTAAGGCATAAAAAGAAAAAGAAAAGAAAATTTTACATATAAAATGTGCTCAGCATTATCACGGCACTCCTTAGGATTCACTGAAGAAAAGACCAAAGCAGACTCTCAACTAGTACAGGCTCTGCAAATGCTGCCATGATCAAAATTCAGTGGAAATTCTCTTTTGATCTTTAGTTTAATCCTTTATCCTGGATGAGGATAACTAAAATTATCTTTTACACATGCTCTACTCTAAAAAATAAAGCCATAAAGACTTTATAAATGGGACACAAATAGAAAATTGCAAATGAAAAGATGGCATCAATTTTTCCAGACCGATAAACGCTTGTTCCTTTTTATAAAGTAAACACACTGAGGGTTTTAAGCCATATAATAAGGTATATACTTAGATGTATTTGAGTTAATCAAACATGGAAAAAATATAAACATTTTAAATGTAGATGCTTTTCTTCTAGTAAATATATACTAAATTTCTCAGATTTCCCCTTATGGCATTTTTACTGCTTTTAGTCAGAAGCACACATTCCACTCTGATCCAAAGTTGTTTATTTTCTAAAATATCCCTAAATCTTTGATAGCTACATGACCTTTAGATCTCTATCACAGTATTGTCTTATTTTAAGAAAGAATACTAGATCACATTTATCAAGCATTTACTATGAGCCAGGCATTGTTTTATGCTCTCAACATGTATTAACTTATTTAAGCATCACAACATTGCTATAAAGTAAATTCTATTATTGCCATCATTATATAGATGAGAAAATTGAGTCACAGAGAAGTTAAATAACTTGCCGGAGAAGCTTGGATATGAACCAAGACAGTCTGAAACTAGAGACTGTACACTTAGCCTCAGAGTTACGTCAATCTCACCCAAATAATTTCTCCAAAACCATGTGTCAGTGGTACTCAGGAATTTTATAGTAGAGAGGGTGTCTTATTACATAGGGGAATATTTGATTTAATGATACCAAGCTATGCTAAGCACCAAATACGTCTTTTGGCTCAGTCTTCAACAACAACAGCACAGATTCATAAAATGTTTGAACCAAAGTATGCTGATAGATCGCAGTCTTCTCTGTGACAAGTGTTTGGTTCCCTCTAGACCATAGGCTGGCAAACTACGGTCCTTGGGCCAAATCTGACCCACCTCTTGTTTTATAAATAAAAATTTATTGAAACACAGCTGCTACGAACTGAATTGTGTTCCCCTATCCCCCAAAAATCATCTGTTGAAGCCCTTACCCTGCAATGTGATTGTATCTGGGGACGAGGTCTTTAGAAGGTAATTAAGTTTAATAAGGTCACAAGGGAACCTAATCTGATAGGACTATGGCTTAAAAGAAGTTCTTTCTTTCTTTCTTTTCTTTCCTTCCCTCCCTCCCTCTCTCCCTCCCCCTCTCTCTTTTCTTCTTTCTTTCTTTCTTCCTCACCCAAGAACATTTTTGCATTTATCTTCAGATAGAACAGGAGTAAGAGAGAGACACATCGACTGGTTGCCACCCACACAACCCTAACTGTAACCAACGTATATGCCCTTTGCAGGAACTGAACCCGGGACTCTCTGGTCCACAGGCCAACGCTTTAACCACTGAGCCAAACTGGCCAGGGCTCTATCTATCTTTCTCTCCCCATCTGCCCCCACTCCCACCCTATGTAAGGACACAGAGAGAAAGGTGGCCTTCTACAAGCCAGGAGGAGAGCCCTCACCACAAACTGAATCAGCCAGCACCTTGATGTTGGACTTCCCAGCTTCTAGAACTACGAGAGGTCAATTTCTGTAGCTGAAGTCCCCCAGTCCGCAGTATTTTGTTATGATCACCCTAACAAGTTAAGGCAACAGCCACGCTCCTTTGTTTACATGTTGTCTTTGGTGGTCTTGGCACACCAACGGCAGAGTTGAATAATTGCAATGAAGGCCACGTGACCCCAAGGGCCTAAAATATTTACTGCCTGACCCTTTGCAGAAAAAGTTTGCTGATCCCTATGCTAGAATATTCCCCCTAAGAGACCATTCTAATCTTTAATATCTATGACAAAAATTTCTGCCTCACAAAATAGGCTTCCCTTTTCGCCAGCCTTGACTATTGTCAAGTCATTCCTTACACTGATTTGAAATGCACTTTTCTTTAATTCCTACCTTAAGATTTAAGTTCTGACCTCTAGGTACCTCCTACCAACCAGTAGCCATCAAGTTCAAGCTAGATTCTTTGCTGCTTCCCACCACTTTTTCTGCAGTGGGGAATTAGCTGCAAATAGTGCAATTACAAATAGTGCAACTCCCAAAGAGCTGGCAAAACTGCCCCGTTTCTGTTGATTCTAACATGGAAAGTTCTAAGGTAAACCAGTACTCCTCCAGAGCTCATCCTGCTCACGCCCCTCAGTGCCTCTGAATGAAGAAACTAAGGCTGTGGAAGTAAAAACGTGACACGAACATTCACAATCTGCTGCCATCACCTGATTCGCTCATTATAGCAACAGATTTTGCCCTCTCCTCTTCTTCCACAAGAAGTTCAACCCTTTCTTCCGGAAGCCATGGAGAATTTAAGTAGTTTAGATTCACAAAGCACATTTAGAGGCTTCAATACTCGATAATGTTCCTGGTATTATCTGTTCACTCCTTTTTACTTGCTAATTTTAAAATATATAAAGTCCACCACATATCTCATTTACTTGTGGAATGTAATGAACAGAAAAAGCTGATGAACAAAATAGACCCAGAGACATAGAAAGGAGTACGGTTCAGACTGACAGACCTCAGAGGAGGGAGTGGGGAAGAGGGATGAGATAAACCAAATAACTTATATGCATGTATGCGTAACCAAAGGGCATAGACAACAATGTTTGGGGGTTGGGGGTGGGGGATAGGGAGGAGGGTGTCTGGAGGGAAAAGGGAGAAACATCTGTAACAAAAATAAATTATTTTAAAAAACTGCAAAAAATATATTTAAAAAATAGCCTTAAAAATGATATACACACACACACACATATATATGTATATGTGTGTGTGTGTGTGTATATATATTATATACATATATATATAATATATATATTCCTATTTCCTAGTTGAGGAGAGCTCCCTCATAAATAAAGACCCATTTCTAAACTACAGCTTCTATCCCATCGCGCCCAAAGGATACCCATCACCCTGCCCCCCCCAAGCTATCCTGAAGTGGAATACAAGATTATTTCAAAATGACAAAGTCCTGGGAATGGGGAGAGAAAAGAAGAGAGATTCTTAAATGACTCCAAATTCCCTCCCAATCACACCAAGTTTTACAACCTCTCCTCGCCCTGACTAATCAACTCTGAGCCCAGACAGGACAGGCGCACCACATGGTGGACAGGCCAGGCTGGCCTTCGCTCTCCACAACTTGAGGTCTTCCCTGGCCGAAGACTCATGGTGTCCCAGCTGGTGTCCTGTTCCCTGCATCAGAGATTATGGTCTACATTTGTCCCATATAACCTCAATCAGGCAGCAACCAGGGGTTGGCAGATAATATGGTTCTGCCACTGACACATTCCAGGTTTTTCCGAGCGGATTTAGTGAGGTTTCTTCAAATATAAAAACAGGAACAAACAAACACACCACCATGAGCCTGGCTTGGATGGAATCTGTAAAAAGCATCAGCAGCTCCACAGGCCGGACTACCATGTGCCGCTTCTGCATGCAAACAGTCTTTGAGGCAACTCCAATTTGTGTAGATGTGGCCAATATCATAACCTTTAAAATCCTCTAAAATATGCCAGCTCCTTTTACATTCCTATACAATCTACTGTTTTGTCAAGATGTAGTCAGAGGGAAAACAACACAGCTTTATTCAGCTGTCTAAGGGGGGGTGGGGGTTTAGACATGGAAGAAGAAAGATAAGAAGATGGCTGAGTTACATTAATTCAAGTGTGTCCATTTCTAACAGCAATCGTAGAACTGGTGCAATTATGCCTCAAGTATCAATGTCTTCATTTAGTCATATGCCTAGTTTCAAGAAAAAGTGGATTCTCCGACACGTATCCCCTCAGCAGGCTGTAATGACTGCTGTAATTCACAAACACAGGGAGAGGCCCACGGAGCATCAGAGGCAGAAGAAACTTGGTATCTCCTAGTCACTTTGTAGATGAGGTTGCTGAGGCCCGACTGCAGACTCTAGCTCCAAAGCCTCCGAGCCAGTGGACAGGTCTCCAGTGCTCCCTACTTTCCATGCACCTCTCTCAGAGGTGCCCACTAAAAAGAAAGATACAAGCAGGCACACGTACTGATTAAAATTTGTATATGAACAATGAGAAGAAAACAAAAGCAAAGGTATTCTTTGCCTTTCAGAGTCCTAAGTCCACGTATCAAATACATTTAATGTGAAACAAAGCATTTAGGGGGGCTGTAACAATAAAATGTTAGCTTCTTAAGGAGGGTCTCTGTAAAAAAAGAAAGAACACAGAGCCCGGCTTGTGTGGCTCAGTGGACGAGCATCGTCCCATGGACTGAGAGGCCCTGGTTCGATTTCCGGTCAGGGAACATGCCCAGGTTGTGCTCCATCCCCAGTGAGGGGCATGTAGGAGGCAGCCGATTGATGTTTCTCTTTCACATGGATGTTTCTATCTCTCCCTCCCTTCCTCTCTCTCTAAAAGATCAATAAAAACATATTTTAAAAGAAAAGAACACAGAAATCTGCAATCAGAGAATGTGTCTGACCCTCCACTAAATGCATAACTATATGGTGTCCCAGTTCCTCCATTTGTCAAAATATCATCTTTGTGACCTAAACTACCTGATGAGGGCATGACAACAGTTATGTGAGAATTTCTGCCAAACACTAAAAATACGTTTCTTGAATAATTATTGTCCGTAAGCCTTGACAAGCACTGTAAGTTACACCCCCAACCCAAAAAAGGCAAAAGATGTTGAATCTACTTAGAGAAACAAAATATACCCAAAGGTCACAGTTAAGAATCCAGGATGGCATCTGAGGGGGTTAAGAACTGGCAGACACACGAAAGAACATTCA